CGGCCCGAACAAGTGTCACGACCCGATCCTCCTCGTCCGCGTTGTCTCCTCGTGTCGCCTCGAACATTCTCTCGATCGCTTCCGTAAGCATCCTCGCCTTTGCGCGTGTCACCGGTCCTTGCGGTAGCTCCATGTCACGTGCCTCGCTCCTAACCTCACGGTTGCCGGATGGAATCACATCAGTAATGAATTGTGTAAATTTGTATGATATAACGACATGAAAGATGTATCTGATGTAATATATTCACATATGCTTGGTTAGTGGTGAAGTAGTGAGTGTGATTTGGATCACTTGATTATACTATAATTTCACTTGATTATACGACATGAAAGATGTATAACTTGATTATGCTTGATTACTACATAATTTCAAAATTTGGTTTATGTAAATATATTATACTACTTTGAGATTAATAACTAATAAAGATATATGTAATTAAGGTTTTTCTTTCAAATTGATGCCATGAGCTTGACCAAAAAAAAATTGCTGCACTAAGCCATTGTTTAATTTTTTTTTAAACTACCGCACGGCTCTGAGTACTCCGCCCGTGCCCAAAACGTAGCTACTTGGCGAAAATAACCATAATTTTTATTTCGTGGTTACATATTTGGGAAAAATTTTGATTGCATATTATACATACTGAAAAAGGAAGGTCCTGTAATTTGGCTTAATAGCATAACATTGAAGTCAATATTACGAACATAATAAAATGGTTTCAATATGCACATGATTAAATATTACGGTTATTTTTCGCCAAGTAGCAACGAATGAATGCATGTCCCCAACATCAACTTTGAAATCTATAAATAAATTGGTGGGATTTATCACCTTTTTAGTTTTATTATTGAGGAAATCTTTTTTTTCTGAGAATTTTGAGAATGCTAAATATTGAGCGATACCACTTAGTTTTTGTTTTTCGGATACAACTTGTTCTGATGTTCTTCTTGCTAGTTTCGTACTCTATAGAAAAGCAATAGAGCAACCCAACCAATAAAAGCCCAGCCCAAACCGGATTATCGTTCTATAAATACCTCCTTAGGGTAAACCTGCATTTCGTTGCTGCTCTCGGCGAGCTCTTGCCTGAAAATAGACCGTTGCTGTTTTCATCTTGTACATGGCCAGTGCTAGCAAGAAATCAGGTAATTTGTCGGGTTCGTTTTAGGTGGTTCTCATTTTATTTGGCTTCTCTATTGGCCACTTGTTGATTTACTTTGTCTTCGCTGCTCTTCTTGTAGGTAAGCGAAAATGGGAGGATGAGACCAGACCGTTACTGAGGAAACCTGAAGAACTGTCCGAGGATAAGGTAACAAATGGTAACAAATGTATTTGACATGAAGTAAAGATTAGTTTTACATCTTTAATTTTGTCGGTTGGCATTACAAATTTTGATGAGATTTGAAAGGTAAAACATTGTATAGAGGGAGAGGTTGGAATAACAAACCAAATATATTAAACCTCGAGATATCCACTGAATAATTAATCCTGCATTTGAACTATAACATCCTTGTTTTTTTTGAGAATTACGGAAGAAGAAAGGAAGTGTAATTTAAGTTATTGTTGAAACGGAAGGAGACATAAAGCTGAAGCTCACTCCCGCTGGAGAGTACAAAAAATAAGTGAGTTACATAAATAGTTGGCTGTTGATGGATATGCGAGAAGGGTATGCTGACCTCCAATTCTCTTAGGGTTCACGGTTGTGACCAGAAGCACGGTAGGGGTCGTTGGGATTGCCTGAAACTTCGTGATGAACTCCGATGCAGAGTTGTCCCAAAGGTAAACGTTCACAGTGGGACCTCTGCGTAAGAGGAATGTGAAGAGTGTGTTAAAATACGAATATCAGAAGGAGCAGTGGTGAGGAGATCAGAAATTGCTTACTCTCTAAGCTGGAGGTGGACTGAGACTCGATCTTTCTGTCCATCACGGTTTTCTGGATTGTTGTTTAGAACAGGGACGTTGGTGGAGGTTTTGTCCGTTGATGAGTTTTAGATGACCGATGATGAGTTTTAGATGACCGATGATATCTGCATATTTAGATATTTAAAATACTATCATATATAACTTGATTTGAGATACATAAGGAACCATCTTCGCAAAGGTAGAAATTATTCATACTGTATTCAACCGAACCACACTCACTACTTTACCACTAAGCAAGCATATGTGAAGATATTATATCATATATCACTTTGACGTTCTACTATCATATTAATTGATACAACTCATTCAAAATTACCTCCATTTATTCGACCATTGGAATTACACTAAAACTTCCTATTTCAATATACGAAACACATTACAAACATAGGGGAAAGAAAGGTGGGAAACTAACAAACTAAAGCGATCTAAAAATTCCTGGATTCTAAACATTCCAAAACTCCTCATATTTAGCAGAAAGAAAGCTAAGAAACTAACAAAGTAAAGCCACTGGAAATTCCTGCATTATAAACATTCAAAAGCTGCTCATCATATTTCTACTTCTAGTTTAGGAACTAACCATATAGATCTCCTCTCATGTCCGNCTTTGCTTCAAATTCTGGGAATGATTGGAACCTGAATCTCTAGGCGTACGGTGTGCTCGAGCTCGGTCAAAGCAGTGAGGTAGGTGAAGCAGAGGGTGAACTTATGGTCCGTAACCCTGAAGATGGGTTTGTTGTCCGTAGCATAGAAGTTGGTGAGCCTGTAGATGGAGTTTCGCTTCTTAAGTACCGAAAGATTCGGTTAGGAGAAATGAAACATTGAATAGCAGTTCCCTGGAGAGGTATCAGGTGAGTTACAGAACTCGGCCACCCTTGGTTGGGTTCCGAGCCTCCCAGAAGTGAATGAGCCGGAATATCAAATCCTTGTCGCATAAACCCGATTGAACTTCCTTGAAGGACATGTGGGCTTGGATTTGGGCGACGGCGTTAGAGTTTGGGGAGGCCATGACTGTTTTAGGATGAGAAGCAGCGTAAAAAGGTGTGAGGGTTGTGCTGTGGCTGAATCTGCTAGAAGATGGAAGGTGGAGCCATTATTGTTGCAGTATACAATTCGAGAGCGTTTAGAAAAGAAGGAGGTGAAAAGAGTTGGACTTTATGAGGGAATTGATGACGAAGTTGTGCTGTGAGGGCAGTGGAGGCGTCTCTTTAGGTTAAATTTGCCGTTGACGCGAAACTGGGAATTGCAGGAGAGGTGGGAGGAATTTAGGTTACAGTATTTGGTGAAGAAGAAAGCGAGATGATGGTGGAACTTTAGGCCAATGTTTGGTCAAATGGTTGGGCTTGGATGATTTCAACTCTTCTTGTTAGATGTAAAGGAGATGTTTACTATATGAAGGGTGTGTTTTGGCGAGAAGAAAGTGGGGAAGAAAGGTGTGAGCGTGAGTTTTTTTATTTGGGTTTTGTAATGGGCTTTATAATTATTTTTGGAGGTTATGAGCATATAATGAGAATTCGCTGGCATGATTGTAAACATATTATGGATGACATGGCATTGTTTTGCACTATTAGTGGTTGATTATTTCTCTGAATATTTGAATGATGTGGCAGCTCTTAGAAGCCTAGAATTCTTCTCCTTTTATATAAATGAGATTTTATTAATATATAAATAGAAATCATTAAGTAGTTAAATTAGAATATAAAAAATGTAACAATGTCATATATATTAAAACGAAAATACAAATACGATTAAATAAATAAACATAGTTAATCCCTGAATTAAATAAATACTATCTTTTTCAAATTTTATTAGTCTTATGTAATTTTATCATGTAATGTACATTTAATTTAGATGAAAATCGTAATTTAGTTAAATTGTTTTACAAAATAAAATGAGTGGTGAAATTTGTAAATTTAGAAAGTTAAAGTGTGTTTGAAAATATAAATATATAAAGAGAAAACAGAATATATTTAGAATATTTCTTTTTAGAAGGGAAAAGTGAGAATAATAATTAGAATAAAGATGAAAAAAACTATTGGAGAAGCTCTAAGATGATAAAGATGATCTAGGTTACACTCGTAAAGATGGTTATAGTTTAAACTACAGTTCTAATCGTAACATTGGTTCAACGAAAGCTTGCCTCTTACTCAACAGCTCTCATATACAAGAAACCGGTGTGGTCATCTGAATAAAATTTAACTCACCAGTCACCATAACTCAATATTATTGAGGAAATGACAAAAGTTTGAAAGACTATAGATTTAAGTTTAGATGTTCTCTAGCTAGTCCGGCTCGTAGGGAGCCTGAGCTGAATGTAAACAAAACCATGCATGGGACTATATCGCTATAATTGTCTTTATATATATAAAATGTGTGAGTTATGAATTTTGGTCCATAGTCTCTTCGATACCAACCTTTTTGTGTTACCATTAGACCACCACACTTTAGTG